TGCAAACTGCCGAAAAATGATACGGTTGCGAACGTAATTATTATACGTTAGGACGAACTGGAACTGGAACCTCTGCAAGTTCGGCCGGAAAGAGCGCGGCTGTAAGTTACCTCGGTTGATCTGGTCGCTCGTTTCGCTTTAAGAAAGTAAGGTGGGTAAAGTGTCGTCTCTTTCTCTGCAGTATGGGCCGCTGAATCTCTACGTGCGACTCGCTCGAGCCTCGAGCGCGTGGTAAACATGTCACCGGTGCGAGAAAGTCTGCGCGATTCCAGCGGCGAGTCCGGTACGTAGTATCAACGGAGTACAGTGTCTCTGTCATCCCTGCCACCCCAGTGAGAAATGCCTCGTCGATTCGGCATCATCTCCGACGTCAATCGACGAACCATGTCTCACTGGGACGCGGCGTTCACAGCGCTAAGCGCGACTGGCGTACGGCGATATTCCATTCGAGGTTATCTCACGTCGGACCCCCGTGCGATCTTGCCTTTCAGGCTCGGAGTCCGACAACGCCTCCGCGTCCTCGAGATCGAGCCGCAGCGGTAGCCGGGCGTCGCAGGCCCCGGTGCAGACGTCGAGCAACGCCAGGAGCGAGCGCTCCGAGGACGAGAACGGCGCGCCAGCCTCGCCCGCGTCCAACGCCAGCGGCAGCCGCGTCTCGAGGTCCGCCAGCCGGAGCCCGGTCGGCTCGAACAAGTTGGACGGCAGCCGCAAGTCGGAGAGCCGCTCCGGCTCGGGCTCGAGGCGCTCGAGCGTCGGCTCCGTCCAGAGCGACAAGTCCGGCTCGCCGCGGTCCAGGAGTGGCACGCCGAAGTCGGTGGCCTCCCGCAGCTCGGCGGACTCCCGCAAGTCCCCGCGCTCGCGCTCGCAATCCCCGCGCGGCAGCGCGCGCTCCTCGAGGTCGAGATCGGCGGAGAGGAAGTCCAAGACCCCGGCGTCCCCCGCGTCCAACGCCTCCGGCTACGATTCCCCGAGGGGCCGTCGGTCTCGCAGCGGGTCTTCCCAGAGGAGCAACAAGTCGGCGGGCTCCGCGAGTCCGGCGGAGAGACGGTCCAACTCTTCCGCGTCCTCGCGCAAGTTCGACGAGACGGCGAAGAGGGAAGGCTTGGAGAAGCCTGACGACAAGAGGTCGGTGTCTAAGAGCCCGAGGAACGACAAGAGTGACAATGAGTCGAACAAGTCTTTCAAGCAGACAGGTTTGCATTGCATTATTAGTTGCGATATGCGGAACGTTCTTGCTCCGGTGAGTTACTGTTTGCGCCAATCCAATTGCATTGTTCAATATTGAAATCTCTTCGATTAGATAACGATCAAAGTCCCAAATCTGACGAGAGCGACGATGAAGAGCACCCCAAGGCTAAACGGCAACGTAGCAGTTCTGGCTCGGACACCGGGAAGACTGTTAAACGATCTAAACCGGTGATACACTCGGATTCGGACAATGAGGCAGCTGACAAGGAAAACGGCGCCGCTCCAACTGCGGACGCGCTGTTCGGCGACGCGAGTGACATTAGCACGGACGACGAGAAGGAGAAGAAGGAAGAAGAGAAGGAAAAGGAACGGAGTCGCAGCCGGAGCAGGAGTAGAAGCAGGAGTCGTAGCAGAAGCAAGAGCCGAAGCAGAAGTAGGAGCAGGAGTAGGAGCAGGAGCAGAAGTCACAGCCGCGGCAGATCCGAGAGCGGTGGCGAAGGCCCGAGCCATCGAGCCGTTATCGAAGACGTAAGTTGACGAGAAGAATAAGTCCTTATTTCTCTCTTTTTTTTTTATAATTAGTAGCGCGCGGCGAAAAAGACGCGACTTTGGCAAGCAGACCGACATATTTTAACACTGAATCGTATTCCATGTGTAGGAGGAGGACAAAGATAAGGAGGACGAACCAGAGCCACCTCCGGAGACTCGAATCGACGTGGAGATCCCGAAAATCACCACCGATCTGGGGCGCGAGATTCACTTCGTGAAGCTGCCGAATTTCCTGTCTGTCGAAACGAGGCCGTTCGACCACGAGACGTACGAGGACGAGATCGACGAGGAGGAGACCCTAGACGAGGAGGGTCGCGCTCGATTGAAGCTCAAAGTTGAAAATACGCTGAGGTGGAAGGAGCTATTTAACGACGAGGGCAAAATGGTGAAGCAAAGTAACGCGAGATTCGTAAAGTGGTCGGACGGTAGCATGTCCTTGCATCTGGGTTCGGAGATCTTCGATGTGTACAAACAGCCGCTGCAGGGCGATCACAACCACCTCTACATTCGCCAAGGTACAGGTCTGCAGGGTCAAGCGGTATTCCGTACGAAACTGACATTCCGGCCGCATTCCACCGAATCGTTCACGCACAGGAAGATGACGATGTCTCTGGCCGATAGGTCGCAGAAGACTTCCGGCATTAAAGTTCTCTCCCAAGTGGGAATGAACCCAGACCAGAATAGATACGAGATGATAAAGGTGCGTGCACGTCATAGTTTTTTTGCGTATATTATAGTAAAATCGATTATTCCAACGTTTCTACTTGTTTCCTCAGAAAGAAGAAGAGAAGCTGCGTATGGCTATGCGAGTTCAAAAAACGAAGAAAAGTACCGGTGGCATTAGGAACACTAATCGTGCTGCAGGGGCGTACAGTGGTGACGCTTATCACGATGACGGTTCCGATGATGAGGGTGCAATTTCGTTAGCAGCCATAAAAAATAAATATAAAAAGGGAGCGATTCCTTCTAAAGGTACTTAACATCTCTTAATACTCATTACATTGTACTAAATTTGAATTGGCATAAAACGTAGTTTTAATGCCTGTGACTGTACTAGAATGCGTCAAGATACACTCAAGATATATTGTCTCCGCATTCTTTTGCGCGTAGATTATATTAGATTGATTCATTCCACCAAGCCCACTTATGATTTGAAAAAAACGCCTTTATTTCAGCATCGAATATTTATTCTTCGGATGAGGAGGGTTCGGACATCGAGACACACAGACCCAAGAAGAATATTAAAGGGAAAGTTCTTAAAGATTCTGACGAAGAATCCAATACTGAAAGTTCTGCGGGTAGCGGTGGAGATGATAATCAAGTTGATGATGCGAGTGATTGAAAATGTATATATAATTCAAAATTTAGTAAACGGTTTTCTTACAATGGTATACCATTATGGCATACAATGCAAATAGCGTTGAACAGATAGTATCTATAATAATAATAATTTTAGATAGTACTTTTATAGGTGATATCTGATATGCAATGTAAATAAAATTGTAAACGCACATTCAAAATAGTTAATAAATTGAAGTAAATTTGTCAAATTAACCTGTCGATGAACACTTCAAAGTAATATTTGTGTAATATCGAGGAATAATGAAATGTTAAAGTCTGTGAAATCTATGAAATCGTTAAAAAATTTTCACCACAGGTTGGACTTTAATTACTAGTACTAATATGAAATCATATTGCGATGACTATTTTTCAAAAGTAGTAAGTTTATTATTTAACACCGTAACTGCAAAAGTCATATAAAATAAACATTGACCAAATATTTATTAAAATTAGCATATATTAAGTAGAAGTTTCAAAAGTGCGTGCCATATTTTATCTTGCATATTAATTTTTAATCCATAGCCCTGATTTTTATTATATCCTTAGTCGGGAAAGGGGACGTGAAATTTAACTTAAAATAGCTTTATTAATATGGCGCTTTTTAAACTTTAAAACAGTCCTTTGATTCGAATAATTTTTACGGCAATAGCGAAATAATAACGCACGAAAAGTTTCAAAGTACAATGATGTCGCTTAATACTTTAGTAACATCTCGTCTATATGTATATAATATGGAACAAAACGAATTTTACTAGAATCCACGTAGCATTCGTTATTTCCTGTAACAAAAATTTTTATTCTGAATTGCACGAGAGTAAGCAGAACTCTTCTAATAATAAATTCTTGTGTCATCGTAAATTACTTGCAATCGACCACCGTTAAATTCTACAGCAGGGACACGCAACTGATCGGTCGGATTCGGCCCTCAAAACTTTCCAATCCGGTCCGCGGCCAAGTTTGACCCACAGGACAAAAACTGAATTATTAGCGATTTGTTAGTGTTTTCTGATTAAAGCAAACTAGGCAAAAACATAAGTTCTAAATGCAGTTGCTGTGGCCCGCGGTATAATGTTAAATTTTACATTTGGCTCGCCAAAAGCAACTAGTTGCGTTTCTCTGTTCTATAGCGCTGAGAAATTTCGTTAAGATGCTTAATGTCTTAATAAGAAATATTAAAATTAGATTACGCTTCCATGAATAAAGATAATGTTAATTTTGTTGACGCAGTCAGTGCGGTGCAACACCTCGACATAAATTGTAGATATCTAATAGATTTTCCATATTGACCATGCGTTACAAATACTAGATATTCCCGTTGAAACAATATTCCTTATTGGCGGATATACTCAATATCCTTGCGTTAATCACCGATGCAAACCAGAAGATGGCCGATTTGACTAGACTACGATCTTAAAGTGGTAATCCTTTCAACGATATCCTATAGAAGCGCTCGGTCAGGTCACTCTATGTCTCAGCTCCACTGTATACATATATATATATTACAGTTTATAAATTCTAATTTAAACTAGGATTTCGTCCTATGTCCCACTGTATCTCAATCCTTGGCCATTTTGTTTGCAGGGCCGTCAGCATAGGATTGCTATCCATGATGCACTTTACAGTGCACTCGAGCAATACTGCTTGTCCCTTGTGATATTTCACTCTGTTTTCCGGATTGCTACGCTGCAGACCATTGTAGTGATACAAGACAAACATGTCTGGGCACATGCGTGGTTCCTCGGGAAAGAATTCGTCCATAAACGACGCGAGAAGTATTATCCCTAAATTTTCACCGTCCAATTTCTTCCTCATGATATCGACGCTGCAAGAAGAACTTTGATACAATACTCGCCAAAGCTACTTCCATTCGAAATTGGAATCAAATTTAATCCAAATGATTTCACACACGCCAATGCAATGTGCGTACAACGGGCACGAGAGCGAGTACGTACTATTCCGCATCGGCTACCAGTCCTAATTCCGCCAATACGTCCTGCAGCAAATTCGACGCGATAAAGTTATTCCCCTCCGGGTCAAAGCGCTTGAAGATTCTTCGCGCCTGCTCCGACGGCGTCTCCGGACTCACTAATCGCTTCTCCGTAGAGAAGAGTACAGTTAAATGCGTGTCCGAACCTAGCACCCAGATCGGATGCGACGGCGATTTTAGAAACGTTCCCACCTCGCAGTACCGTAAATGCTCCAGCAGAGTGAGGAATCCTACCGTGTTCTGCTTATCGATGCCGCGTAATTCTACAAAATACATAACGCGTTAACTCGGGGGAGACCCAATCCGACATTGCGCTGTATCAAGACATGCGTAGGCTCGAAACGAAGTCGTTCGACTTAAAGAAAAAGAAAAGCCGTCTCACTTAATCCACTAATATCTTGATCGTGATCCCAGACGTGACTGACTGCCCGACCGGTAAGCATTAAATTTATTAAACTTTGGCTTCCATATCCGTAGGTAGAATCGATCATGGGCTCCGTGGGATCCGACATTTCTAAGCATATTTCCGAGACCCCCTTTGTACACATCACCGTATAAAGTAACAGCAGTATACCGTACGGATCCTTCAACATTCCGATTCGTTCCGTGAAGAAGTCCTCCACATCGTCAATGCTACTTGTCGTAAATATCCTGAAATGACCATCGATAAAGCATCAGAACGTGGAGGCGTTGAACGCACCTTACGTCGGGACGTTGTCCTCTGGCGTCAACTCACCTTAATTGAGAATGAAAAATCTCCGATTCTAACGACGCTCGTTTCGTGACCTGCGCCTCGTTAATTTGATTACCGTCGCTAATATCTTGGACCGGATTCGGCTCGGCTGACTTCGAGTCGACAGCGTCCTCCTTGCCGGACACAAAGCCATTAGAATCGCTGGCGTGTACTACTGAATACTTAGGATCCTGAACATCGGCGGCTTGATTTATAATTTCAGTCATGGCCTTCACGAGTAACTGATCACATTTCTCGGCCTTGATAGCCTTCCAAGTTACAACGTCGCTCTCCAGCAGCAGCTGCTTCAAAATAAATGCTTGAACCGCGGCTATCACGGCGCAAGGCCCGCCTTCTCTCTGTACAAGCGCAGTGGGTTCGTCCGCGCTGAAGTAGAAGCCTGCAACGCAAAAGTAATTAATGCAGCCCACGCTTGGGACGCGCGGCAAACACTTTGCAACGCATTTAAACAACGCTTTTCTCGCCGGCTGTACTGCGCTTCGACCACAATGCGTTTTGTATTGGTTACATAAGAGGTATACGCGTAACAAAGATTCGAACTGCGTTCCGTGTCCAACTAATCAAGAGGTATCAATTTCGCAGTGCCGTCGAGCGGGAGCTCTCGCGTGGAATAACAACGAGGAGGGCGCGATAGAGGAGTTGCTCAAGCCGCATCTCGCGGAGAAACGATTGCGGTTGCCGCAGACGCGGGACAGTACCTTGCGCCCATCGTTTGAAAACGTCCTCCTTGACGGTCGAGCCCCAGAGGAGCGTCTTGATGTTTTTCAGGAGCTCGTCGTCGCCCGCGATGACATTATCGGCCATTATCCCTCCGGATGCGCGCGGTAATACGGGAGATTAAAACGCGCCGTGTACACGAATCTTATCTGGCGCCGACCATAATACTCGCGGCGCTATTAGCTTCACGTCAGATCCCGTGGAATTATCGGTCGCATATAGGCACCACCTCGATAACCTATTTTGTACTACAGGGGATTGCCAAGTACGCCGCCATTTTGAACAGCTTCCCCTTTAGCGTGAAGTGCGTTTAAAAGATGGATCCCCTCTGTGCGTCGACGCGCGCGAGATCGGCGGGGACTGTCGATGTATCGAACGGCTTCGAGAGCGGGCACGTTCAAGTGCTCGCCGGGGCTAAACTCTTAGGGCCTGGTTTCACCAAACGTCGCTTAACTTTAATCTCGGTTTAATTCACGTTTGTCTCTAAGGTAACGTGCTTCACCGTCCGCAAAAGGTCCGGCTTCACCAATGTCGTTTAACTTGAAGCCTAGTTTAATTCGTTCTTTGTCTCTTTCCAACTGTTACTTTAGGAAGAGACAAACGTGGATTAAACTAAGATCAAAGTTAAGCGACGTTTGGCGAGACCGGGCCTTAGTAGCACAATATGTTGGCGCGATATTGGGAAATCATGTAAATCTGTAATAGTATTCCCAATATTGGTCCAATATTGTAAAATGAACGCCTCTTAATTCTTATTTAGCCAATATGTCTATTCAGTAATATTGGTCTAATATTGTATCAATTTTAGGCCAATATTCTTATTACATTGTTAAATATTCGCCAATGCACTTCCAATATAAATCTAGTATTACATAATTATTATCGTGCAAGAGATGTATTTATTTCATGATCGATATTAACATTATATTGGGAAATTTTATATATTTCTCAATCTAATTTTTTTTTCGTACCTTAAACAACAAAATATTTCTAATTCCATCCACGTTAACAAAGAGACTAGAAAACCCATACGTACAGCACGCATGTCTAAAAGACATCTTTAAGACAACTTTAAGTCGTCTTTTAGACACACATATCTAAAAGACGACTTAAAGACGTCATAAAGATGTCTTTTAGACATGCGTGTTGTATGGGAAACAAAGGAGATTTCACCCAGTCAGGTTTTTATTCGCCACACACCTGTATTGGCTTAAATTTTTCCGTCCGCAAATTATCATCTGTAATTTTGACCGGTAAAATTTTCTCGGGACATTATGAAATCTATCTCTCCTGCCTTCGAGAAAATAAGAGCTAAATAAAAAATAAACCTGATTCGATAACATTGTGAATTACCGTTGCATTTGACTTATATAACTGCTTTTACGTAATTTGCGCATTGCTAATACCTATTGATTCCTACTGCCCTTGTTATTTCGTCTTTGATGTAACGTACGGTTTTTTTTTGCCCCGCGCGAATTACGCTTAAGTGGTCGTATCTTAACACGACGTGTACGTATTCTTATCTCGGTACAATAAATAACACGCCTTATACATATACATTATTCGTTAGTGCTCGTAATCGAGCATTCCGAGTGAAAGTAAAAGCTCGTAAACCCACGACTGTGGGCAGAAGGCATTTCGTGATGGCTCGACACGGCGTGCTCGCGGCGCCGGGAGAAATACGGGGAATGTTTTTGCGAAAAATTGAAGCCTGTTTAAAGACAAGTTCGGGAACCCGGTACAAGAGGAAGCCCAAGAGGGATATCGAACGATACATTGCGGGACGTTTGAGAAGATAAAAAAATTTTGAAAGATCCGAGTACGAAGTTGAAACTGTAAGACGAAATGCTTAAACCGGGTTTCTCTTCGTATCTCTTATCGTTTACGCTCCTAATGTTTGTTTTAACTCCCTTCGAAATGTTCCACTCACTTTTGACGGGCGATCTTTTAAGTCCAAAGTCGACTTAACTTCGACCGGGGCAAGAGAAGGGACCGAGAGGTGAAATACAATGCGTGCCCCCGCTGCGCGCTCCTATACCTGCTCGACAAATACTCTCCGGGCTATAACTGCAGAAATATTTCAGAATTGTGCTCTACAACTTCACGAGAATCCTTTCCGAGAGTACGATTAAAGTGCAAAAAATTGAAACGTTTGGCCCACTAAACCACTCACGCAGCAAAAAGTGTCACAGAGATATCCGGGAGACATTTAAATAATATCTGATACGAAAACCTATTCGGACGTCGCTTGGCTATCCGAGAGACGTCTTCCAGATTCTAAAAAGTCACGATTATTTCATCCGAGATGTGATATCTGATTTTATATCAAACATCAGATGTCTATGTCTTAGCGAAATCGGATTTTACGCATTACGGAATTGGCAATGTGTGATAAATAAAACATATCTTTTCTTTATCAGTTCCGGCACAAACTATTGGGGAACACGGCCTCCGCGAATCAGCCTTTGCTTTTTTATACTGTTATGGTAAACTCATATTTATCTTAATTTTTTTTATCGTACTATTTTCTTTGCTGGATTAGTTTAGAAAGTTATTTTGAGGAAAAGTTAGGCAACGAACAACTGTTTGACAGCGAAACGAATAATAAAGACAAAAATGTAAACAATAACTTTGTGAAAGAGATATCAGAAATGTGATGCCCTTAAAATATTCGGAATTTATTATCTACGAGATATTTCAAATATGACCGGTGAAACAATTCCCACGCGTCGCTCGTTTTAATCTGTACCACGGACCTAAAGGTCGTCAAAATCGGGAAAACCCGCGGTTCCCAGCAAGATAAACCTCGGGTCGGTCAGCAGTCGGTCCCAATACGTGCGCAAAGAAACAGCTGCATCGTTTCGGGAAAAATGATGGCGAGGTGTACAAAGGTGCGTAACACTTCGGCGTCGTTCCCCCCATTTTTTTTTTCAAACGCGAAGGAAGATATTACATGATTTGACGTGACTCCGCTTCACCGTCGGGCGCTCTTCCACCTGTCGCGATAGGCCGCGGTTGGCGAATCGTGAAAGTCGATTCCGATCAGACGCTCCACAATGGGAACCGTCGCGCGGCACGGAGAGACGATGGAGTTTACACGCGGGATGTAACGGCGCGAACCAGCCGGCGGTTATTTTCTCCTCGAGCACGCACTTGTACGCTAATCACGTAGCGTAATTAGATCCCGCCGGGCCCCAGGGGTGGGGGCGGCCTAACGAGTCATAATTGCCGGCAGCCCCGCTCGCGAGTAATCGTACGTACTTTGTTACAGTTCCGAGGTCTTACGACGCTTACGGGCGGAATAGAACGAGGGCCCAAACGCGGAAGTGGCGGCACGCCGCTCTGCTCCTCGCGAATTCGCTCGCGTACTCGCGTATCGCGTAATCGCGCATTCGTAATCGCGACGAGCGCGACTATCCGCCTGTCCATCTACGGCGCGAATAGAATCCCTCTTCTTCGACCAATCCCCAACTGCCCTTACGGAGGGGGGAAAAAAAACACTCGAGTTTTTCGAGCGTTAGCACTCGATTGTCCGAATTTACTCTCAAATTTCGGCGTGAGCATCCAGATTGAAATATTCACGCCGAAATTCGAGAGTAAATTCGGACAATCGAGTGTTGACGCTCAAGTATTTGAATCTGGGTGTTCACGCCCAAATTTGAGAGTGAATTCGGACAATCGAGTGTTAACGCTCAAAACTCGAGTGTGCTTCTTTTTCCGCAAGGGTGAACCCGAGTCGGGAGCTCGGATTCCGCGAGGAATACGCGATAAACCGCGAGTCTCGAAAAAAAAAACTCCCCCTCTGGAGACGACCTTCCGTCGCGGCTGTCGGCCTCGGCGGAGGATCCATTCATACCGATTTTGCCGGTAGCTGCAAATAAGTAATCGGAGAAAGGTATCTTTTGTTATATAAGGCGGGCCCCCTCATTGTCAAGTCGCCGGCGTCGTTCCGCAAGCGAAGTTCGCGGTGAATGAGCGCGCGGGCGTTCGAACTATACACGGCGCACCACGCTCCGAAACGCTTCGGGGGAGATTCGCGAAAAGAATCAACGCCTCTCCCCCCCCGAACCGATGCGGCGTCGCGCCCGGGCGTCACGGTTCGGCCGGCGATTTTACGCGATCGCGTAAATTCGTCCTCCAAGGAGTCGCCGGCGCGGCGCGGTCCATCGCCGATCGGTGAACCGCGTCGGTTCCGGTTCTGCTTTCGCTTTCGTGGTGTCGAAAGAACGGAACGGAACGACTCTAGAATCCACGCGCGCGCGCACGTACACACGCGTGCGGTAACATTCATCATATGTAATGCCGATGTTCTGGTATCATAAGTGATTCGCGGGTACTCGGGAAATATCGCGAGCCGGCGTAAAAGTGAAATGCCGGCGGTACATTAAGCCGACAATAAAAGCCGGCCTTACGAAACACCTGTATACAAAAAGAAAAAACCGGATTATCACTTCCTCAGATCGTGCGATTGCTGTTCTTGTGCTGCATCGTCGCATGCGGCTGCGACGCTCGCCCCCCCGACTCGCCGGTCCAGTTAAACGCGGGAGCAGGGAGATCCGGGAGACCGGCGAGGTACGCCGAGTATGACTGGGATAATGTAAGGGAACAGGAGTACGAAGCGTACGCACAAGGTCAGACGTTCGGTGAAAAGTTGCCGGAAGACGAGGGACTCTTTGAGATACAGCTGGAGGGCTCGGCGATGGCGAAAGCCCTTGCTGTTGAAAAACAGAGGCTCGAAAACATAGTAAGGATAGGTGAGTGGGAGATTTCTCGCCGCGGAGAGGCGCCATATCGCGTCAAATTGAACAAATATTGTTTCACGAGAATCTTGATCTCTACGCAGGTAGACCCAGCATCATGAAAGACGCTCGGCAGCCCCGGGTCAAATCTATGAGCAAGGGCTGCGAACCCCATTGTAGACCCGCCAGGGCCGCGCAAGGTGAAATCTCTCGTATGATTGATGAAAGCGACCGACTGCTCGAGAAGGAGGGGGACCTCCTTCACTCTACGGACGATAAGACATTATTATACAAGAATCTTGGTTTCTATGCAGATCGCGAGATGGACGGCGCCAGAGACGTTCCACAGCGCGAGGCTCGCGAGGACAAGTCGGGGAGCATGGGCTGCGAACCTTTTTGTAGACCCCCCAGGGCCGCACAAGGTGAAATCTCTCGTACGACTGATGAAAGCGTTCGATCGCTGGAGGAGAAGGTCGACCTTTACGAACGATAAGATATTATTTGACAAAAATCTTGATTTCTACGCAGATCGCGAGTTGAACGCTGCCAGCGACGTTCCGCGGCGCGAGGTTCG